CATTTCACCTTCGGATTTACCAGGTGAAGCTCAACATTCTTACTGATCCTCAGATATTTCTGGGCAGACATTTTTTTACACTTTTCACATAATTTAGTGTACAGTGTAGTGTATACTTTAGACACACATGGCATTTCAGTAATCTGCTGTGTCCTGTGTTTTTGTCAGGACATGTTAACCACTTGACTTTCCTTCATCAGCGGGGCGGGTGTCTCCTCATTCTTTGTCAGGATCGATTTGATTGATGCACATGAAACTTCTGTGTAGAATCAATCTTCTCCATTGGAAAACTCATTTACTTTCCATTTAAAAGCAGTTTTATCTTGATGAAACTCTGCTCAATCAGATATCATTTCTATATCACTTGTTTTAGTTGCAGATCCAAATGTCACCCACTGCATCATTTAACTCACAAAGTTTCATCTCTTTGAGTATTTGTTTAATTTGCTTTTCTGGGATTCACATTAAGCAATACATTTTATGTTTTTGGCCTTAAAACAGGCAAAGATAAAAACAACAACTTCAAAATGTCATCTTCAAAGAAGGAAGACAGAGCTATAAAAGTATTCCCCAGCCTGGGTGCTGAACTGTAGATTCCTTTCCCATGCTTCACCTCTCAGCTGCAGGATCCTCTGCATGTCCTGAATCGTAAAGCATCAGTCAACATGTCACCTGCCCAACCTGCTGCCTCCTCACACCCCCGTCCTTTCCACTCCAGCCTGACTTGTTTTTTCCTTGAACTGAAATCTGCTCTCAGGCAGAACGATTCAAATAAGACACAGTGTTTGCAAGGGCTTCACAGCTTGTCCTTTCGCACGTCGGCTCCTCAGTGGAAGCAGCCTGCTTGTATTGGATGCAAATTGGGTATTAAAAGGGGATAGAAACATGAGATAGCGTGACATGGGGAGCCTGAGGAGAGGGAAAGGGCGCAAAGGAGAGAGAGGCTTAATGCGAGAAGAGAATGCAAATGCTGTTGAAACAGGGAGGGATGGATGGAGGAGAGCTGGATGGATGGATGGATTAGTTGAGAAAGAAAGGCGAGGGTCAGGTGTTGATGCGACTTTCTTTTGGCGGGGTCAGAGTGTTTTTCTGTGCGACTGTGACGAAGCTGGATTTGCATTGATGGATCTTCTTTCCATGGAGATGTCATGTATCATAGCCTGGGTACATCACGCCCTTGTCATTAATCAAATGTCAGCCTCTGTCTGGAGCTGTCTGTCGGCTTCTCAGCTATCTGCCTCTCACTCTCTGTCTTTGTCTTGGCCGTGGCTGTGATCTTCCTCGCATCGCTGTGTCCGGCTTCTCACACAGGTGGCTTTCATTTCAGACTTTGAGGCATGCTTTGGTAACTGGGTGATAAGGAGGCAGATTTTTATTGAGGAAACAGCTTCAACATTGAGTTTGATTGGACATATTTGTCTACTCATTAAGTCTAGAAACAAAATGTGCTTAATGAAAGATTAAATAAATATTTTTTTGATTTTAGTTTTCAGTCACTGGTTTCAGGAATGCTTTCTAGTAAACAAGAAGCACCCAGTTTATTACAGGATTAGCATTTGTTGAAAAGTCTCCCCTTGTGTTCAATTTCTAATTAAATCGTTTGAGTCATTTTCAGTCAGTGTTCTGGCCAGTGAAGCTGAAAACTGGCTTATATTGGTCACCAAAGAATTTTGTTGATGGGTTTATAGTTTTTCTGATGACAGAAAGTTATTCATGCTGTTTTATTTATGTTCATACATTAAAAAATGCTTTATAATGTGTAAAAAGCATTTTAATAAATTAATTTTTTGCTGCAAAATTTACCTAGTACCAACAGAATCCATGCTAAATTCTGTCTCATTGTTAAATTAAATTCATAAATTACACGCAGAATGTTGATGTATTATCCCATGTGCACAGGCGCAGATACATGCATGTCCATGTATCATCTTCTGACTGCGAGATCTGCAACACGTCTTCACTGTCTGTAGGGTCGTGACCTCTTGACCTTCAGTGACGCTGGCTGCGGCTGTCTGGCCTGCAGCACTCAGCGCCACACTGTCTCAGTCTGTCCACACCTGTTCTACAATCCAGGACACAGTCTGGTCTGTGGGGGGCCTGATGACAAACAGCAACGGGGCAAAAGTGAAAGTCTGTTTTGGACGTGAAATTCATCGACACCCCCACCCCAAATCCTCATGATCCACTCCTCCCTCAGCTCAAGCACCATTATGGCTTTTCAGACTGCTTCCTGTGCAGATGATTTTTTTTTCCTCATCTGCTCCCCTTCCTTCAACACAAAAGGTGGCTGCCCAGGCTCTGAGGGTGTAGCACTTTTGAAATGTGAAGGGTTTCAGGAGCTGCACCGGTATAGGCCGCTGTTGGTCGACCAGGAGAAGAGTGATGGGGGCCTGGAGGGTTGGGGTGACTGGGGGGAATGAAGGACAGATTTGTGTAATGGTCTTCTCTCTCCCTGCGAAGGTCATGCAGCATTGTTGGCTGCCAGAGGTCTAAAAGACAGACCAATGGAGGACCACAAAGCAGAGCTTTGGCAGGACTAATGAAACTCAGAGCTACACGTTAATGATCTAAAAGACTGGACCAAAACACTCAGCGCTCCCTTTCCGCTCACATTCAGCCTCCTCTTGATCGCTCCTTCCAGATAATGACGAGGCTCTCTGCTGCTTTACCTTTATTGTTGCGTTTGATGTGGGCCTTGTTTTCTTTGTCTTCACATCCCCCCTTCCTGCTTTTCATTGCTTTATGTTACGTGGCTGTCACTCATCTATTAAGGCAACAAATGGAACAAGGAAAACATTCAGAGAGCGTATTGTGCTGCGCCCGCTGGTTTGCTCTTTATTTCTTTTGAAAGCACTTGAACTTGGAATTTTTCTTGGGCTGCCAGTAGTATACACTTTTTTTTGTTCTTACTGTTGTAACAGGATTACAAACATATTTGTCATATAATCCGCATGTCCATACAGCTGCAGTTTAATGTGTCTGTTTAGATGTAATTGTGTATTTTGACTTTTTTTTTGTGCAACCTTACATTTACCACAACAAATATAGTAGACACAAGGTATTGTTCTCCACTTTTGTTTGTTTTCTTTGTTTTTTTCCTCCTTCTGGTTTTGCACTGTTGCACTTACTGATCTGTTTTTAAAATATGGTTTTCTGCTAAATATTTTTTGTAGAGAGGGCAAAATAATACAATTTTAAATATTTAGAGGGAGTATTTCATAGGTACATATTGTCATTTTATAGTGCAGTCAAGTAACTGCTACATTCAGTTATAAAAATGCCTCAATTATCAAAAGTGACTTCAAGTGGATGTATCATGCTTGTAAATAGTTCCTTTTCACATGAATATCACTCACTTGTGGTCTATATAAAGTAGAACTGCATTGCTTTTATTGTAGCTCCACAGACCTTTCCCTTTACTCCACCCCTCTGAGATATCTTTTAGAACAACTCAATTGCTGCAGTTTTTTTTTTTTTTTTTTTTTATCGTGAATGAAACAATTCACGTTCGTTTGACTGATGAGCTATAAATTAATTCATAGTGACAGACACAAGTCGAGCTGTTTCTGACCGCTCTGATTTAGAACACGTCAGAATTCCCAGTTCTAACGTGGGTCAGAATACTGGTGATATCACCTGAACACCGTGTGCCGCTGTCTTTGACATCTTATCGTTATCCCATGGTAAAATCTATTTTTTATTTATTGATTTTTTTTGTCTTAGTTTATATTTCAGTTTATTACAAAGAAAATTGTAGAATTGTAGTTCATATAATTCACAGGGATAATTGCTCTAATTAGTATTCATTGTCCTTTTGAGTTATTTTTCACCACTGGCATTTTAAAATGAGTAGCTGTAGCTGATTGTACTACAGTAGGTTTGTTTTATTTTTCTAGTTCATATTTAAAATGTATTTATAAATTAAGTCGTACACCATGAATGAAAATATCTTCTCTTCCTTTTAAGCTGATATTCAGTTAAAAGGAACGGGACGATCTGGTTCCAAACCAGATCACATTAACATGGACCAGGCCACCCTCATGTTTGACAATTTCCAAATAAATGAACCTATGCTGTAGTACGACTCTTCTTTTAATGATGCATTGTTTGACTAATGCAACTTATAGACTCCAAGATACAGTAACCTTTAAATTAAAGTGTGTAGTTCTGCTGTAGTTAGTGTTAAATTAAAAGTGATTTTGCCTCTGTGTGATCACTGCCTGTTTTATGCCAGATATCAAGTCTTCCATGTTTCCTTCTGCCCAGTAAGGTGAAGGCTTGCTGAATGTCTGCAGTCAGACAGTAAAACAGTGAAATAAACAGTAAGTGGTCTCGCAGCCTCACTCTGCTGCAGTGATGGAGCTGGTTAGGATCATTAGGCCTTTGACATGGCCTGATTAGGTTTGACTCCAGCTCTTCGGCATATGGGAGTTGAGATGTGATTCTCTGGATCATCTGTCTTTGTGATGTGTTTTCCCATATGTGCATGCATGTGGGTTGCACCAGTGTGCAGAGAGCCTGTTGATTGGCCTTGATTAAGAGACTGCCGGGCTTACAAGCAGAGTCTTTGTGATATAGCATCTTGAGCTGGTTATTTCCAGTCGTTCCACGGGAGGCCTTGAACCTGGGGTTGTGTGTTTGTGAGGGAGCAAGTGGGGAAAACAAATATCCCTGGATTCAGGCGAGGCAGAGGAAGGTGGGCAGATTTCAAAGAAGGTTTTCTGGTGGTGTGGTTAGAAGAAATGTTAGATGACGTTTTAAATGTGAGTCTAAGTGATCAGATTTTACTATTAGCATCTGAAAAGGCAGCTGAACAGAAAACATACTCCAGGATGAATAATGGATTAAAGGTTTCCAGCATTTATTTGACTCTGTTTATTTGTTCCCTTTTCCTCTAAAACAAATCAAAACATTTCTCTGAGATCTTTGTCTCTGCATTCGTTGTTTAGCAACTGTACAGTTGGAATCGTTTTGGCTAATTTTCTGCATGTGTCTTGCAGCCAAGCTGAGCAACCAGGATTCATACAACAACTTCACCAACAACAACATGGGGAATCCTCGGCTCACGCCGCTGCCCAGCCTCACCGTGGTGCTGCCTCTGGCTCAGATCAAGCAGCCCATGACTCTGGGCACCATCACCAAGCGCACAGGGTAGGCACCACACACACACACATGCACACACACCTCGGAATACCCTACAGCAAGCAGGTCCAGCATTTACTGTTGGCACACTTAAGTAAATTTCTTACAGGTAACTCTGGCAGGTCTGTTTTGATGTTGTTTTGGTTACTTAGGTGTTCAATTTTTGTTCATGTCTTGTATTATTTTAGTGGGCATGGGCCTTCGTTTTGGACACCGCTATGTTATCAAATTAAAATAAAATTTTTTTTTAGGTTATTGTCCCATCATTAAGCACTTTCCCTTAATGATGGGAAAGTGTTGTTTGTTGTTGGAAATATTAGTTTGAGTAATTTGCTCAAACCTGTCCTCTCCATCAAAAGTGTAAAACTGAGTGTGTGTAGAGCTTTCACAAAATTCTCTCATTTTATTCTGAATGACCACAACCCCGAACAACCCAGCGAACAAAACAAAGTGTTCAACCAGCAGCTTCATAGAAAGTCTGCATTGCACCGGAAGATTCCTCAGAGCAAACATCTTTCACTTTTCACTGCTTTTACTCTGTATGTGAATATTGAAAAAAATATGTATTCATCGATTGATGCATACAACTAGCTAGCACTAATGCATTACTGGGTAATAAAACACTAACACCTTAAAAATTATTGTCTCCAGGGCTTGATTTTAAAGCATTTAATGGCTAAGTAACAGCCTCCTCTTGATGCACAAAGCAGAACTTCCATCCCAGCAGCGGCCTGCAGGTGATGCTTCCCTCCCAGTAAAGACAGACTGCTTTGTCCACAGTCATCCTGCTCTTCAGAGCTTTTCCTGCACATTCAGCTCATGATCATTGATTTGTTTCGTCTCTGGCTACCTTTTTTTTCCCCTTTTTTTTTTTTTTTGCATAGGTTAATGAAGCACAGCATACATGTGAAACTTATTCTGGGCTATTTAGAAGACAGACAAAACAAAACACAGACTGTAAGGAAATTGACCAATCCTTGAGATCATTCTGAGTAAAATTTGACTTGGATAACAAATGCTGTCGGTATGTTCTGACTAAAACTGGTTTGGATGGCTTTCTCTTTCTCTGCCGTTTGTTCATTCCTGGATCTTTGCCATACATTGAAATGATGTAGCTTTAAGAGCTTCTGCAAGTATAGGCCTTTGCTAAGTACATTTACATACAGTACAGGTGGCTCTACAAATATAGACAGATTTTAATATTTTTCATTTAAATGTCATTTTCATGCCCTGTTTGAATGGGAAATGCTCTAATGATCCCAGCAGATGGTGGAGGATTTATTTTCCTGTGATATTTGATAAGTAAGCTTTGAGGATGAAAATAGAATCCTGATCCTGCGGTCACCATAAACAGCATTAGGGCTTTTTTCTAAATCATTAGGCCAGCTTGTACATTTATTTGCTATGTAAAAGTAATTATTGTCTTTGAGGTGCTGTGGTGTCTGCTTTGTATGTTTATGTGATCCTGATAGCCATGGTTTGTATTTGGTTTCCCGAGTTGTTTTAACACCATACAAAGTGGATTGGTTTCATTTAGGATGTTGAAAAAAAGAAACAAATTTTCACCCAAAGTTTTACAGATTTATTCATGTATCTTTCCGATATTGTCAATTTTAAAATATTTTAAAGTCCATATCATGCTGTATTACATAGCTAAGACTGCGGACTTGTTTGTAAACCTTCTGGATTTTTTTATTTGTTTTGGGGTTTTTTAAGTCAAATCAAAGTGTATTCATATTGCACCATTATAGCAATCTCAGCTGACCAAAGTTTCACTAATTGATATAAGATAAAATAGAAAAAAATTGCATCTGAAAATAATATGATAAAAACTGAAATACAATAATAGAAATAAAAAGCACTTTATTTCAAATTAGTTTCAGTTTCAGCAACTTCCTAAAAACAGATCAATTATTACAACATGTTTTCTTATGTCAACTGGGATCGACTGCCAGCAAAAATATTTTCGATTTTTTTTTTTTTTTGACTGATTTGTTTGGTTTGTTGTTTAGTACCTCTCGTCTCTTCGCTTCATTTGAATTTTCAACAAATGGAGGTAAAACAATCTCTTTGTTGATATAAAAATTATTCCTAAATTTAGACCATTCTCAAGTAAATCAGAAATATTGTGGTTCAATATAATTTATTCCAATGCATTGCTGTCTACTGATAAAGTAGAGGTGTGTTCCTAATATTCTAAGACTGACATGAATGTGTCTCAGTACTCAACACCTTTTCATTTTCTGCTTTTCTCCTTGATGTTACAAGAGCTCATATGCTCATTTTTTTAACAGCAATTTTTTAAAATTACATTTAATTTCCTTATAGAGCTGTTTGTCTCACCGTAAATATTTGTAAACAATATGACCATCCTGAAAGGAAAGGTGTCACTTCTTTCTTTTCTCACTTTAGGTCATTTCTGAATGTCTGCCTTTCTGCTCCATTAAACATGTTTTCATTTTCTCATGTTTTCTTTCACACTGATCTGAAGATTAGGTTAATGTAAAGAAAAGATGACGATCACATTTTTTATTCTTTTACAGAGTTGCTTTGACACTATCTCAGCCAGGCTGAATTCTATTTATTTATATGTTAAAGTCCACAAAATTGTAAAACAAATAATTTGATGTGATAGGAGAAGAAGGTTCATTCAGAAAACAGGAACTGAAGTGAGAGGTTACATGTGGCTCCTTTAGGTTTTACAGACTTTTGGACATCTTGATTGTGACTTTGACCAAAATGTCACAGTCAAGAAATGTTGTCATCTTTAAAATGAAAATGACTTTTTTACTACCATCACTCATTTTATCTAAATGTTCATCATGAAAGCCTGCTAAAGAACCTTTGTAGTTTAACATATAGATTGCTTTTCACAGTTTTGTACCTTTTGTACAAGACTCCCTTTAGCATAGATTTTTTTTTAAAGAAATCTATTTCAAGAGTCTGTCTTAACTGGGTATGCTCCGATCAGGGTTTTTTGCTGCAGATTCTGATTCCAATCACTCTTTCGAGCCGATCACTGCTGATCACCTGGATTAGATGTTAATATTTTGCTTTATGTGTACATGCTACTATGTGATATGGCAATAAAGTCACCTAACTATTTGGCAGTAAGATTCTTAACAGCCTAAATTATACACGAGTCAAATAAATCTCATAACAGTGTCTATCAAATAATGTCAAGTAAAAAAGGAAACATCATTCAAAGTCAAACGCAGGTCGTATTGAAATAAGCAATCCCAAATCAAACTTCCTGATAGCATGGCTAGCTGATTAATTAATCTGATTGGTTGTTTCTCACAAAGGGGAGAAATTCTGCAGAACACCTGGAGGAGGCAGAGGAGATCGATTATTTTTCAGACATCACCTGTCTTATTGTCTTATGTCAGGAGGACAGCAAAAGTTTGATTTCATATGAAAAATCCTTTTTTTTTCTTCTTTTTTTTAAGTTAAATGCTGCAGCTTTGAGCAGACGTTCGTTGTGAGAGTTCACTGCTTGGTGGCACAGAAATGGTGCTCTGTCTGTGAAATATTACTATGAGTTGTGCGGCGGTCTAACAGTGAGAGCAGAACCAGCATCATTCTCACCTCTAGCACTAAGACTTAAATTATTTTTCTGTGTATTTGCTTCGGTTTCTGACCGTCATACTAATACGGGTGAGTGTTGGTAGTTGTGTGGTGCTTTAAGTGCTGTATGGCCGCTCCGGATGTCTTTTTTTTCTTGCAGTGAGCCTCGATATAGCCAAACTCCGTCAAGTGCCTGCTTTTTAAATGAAATATTATATTTGTTGTGTTGATGCATTTTGATGTGCTTCACCCCTAAGTTATTTCTCTGGTACAACATGCAAACTTCCCCATTCACTCTGACCTTTAAAGTAGAGATAGTCGCACAGGCAGGCTGTGAAGTGAGATACAGGTGATCGGTTTTGGTAATCGGCAACAAGAGACAGTGATTGGCGATCGCTGATCATACACTCTTTCATAAAAATCGGCAAATTATGATCGGTGGCCGATCGATCGGCACACCTCTATTGCTGCCATTTCATAAAATATAAGGAAGATTTTTTCATAAATATTGTGTAGGTTTGTGTACACAATAAGTATTGTGTACATACTTATTGTGTTCACAATAAGTATGTACACCAGATCGGGTGTGTACATACCCGATCTTGTACGGGTATGTACAAGATCGGGTATGTTAAATAAATTGTGTTAATTTATTTAACAATAAATTAACACAATTTATTGTTAAACAATAAATTGTGTTAAACAAAAATCTTGTGTCAGCCACAAGACTGATTGTAGCTGACACAAGAATCAGTTTTGCATGGTCCACATTGGTATTCTGTTTGTGTCTCACTTTACCTGTTTACAATGCTGCTAGGTCTCTATGGAATCTCCTCCATATTCCACAGCAGCAAAACCAATAGCTGCTATAAAGCAGTGGTAATGCATCACCTACAGCAGGCATTGCTTTCTTATTCCTTTCCCTATCAGATTTGAAAACATATTGCAGTGTTTGCCTAAATGTTAGCCTAGGCTAAAAGTAGCATGTTTTCTCACTGTTTTGATACTCAGCATTCTTCAAGCCAGTTCTGATTAGTAGCACAGGACAAAAACATACAGAATGAAATGTGGTGTTTTGCTTAAAACCTCATAAACTGGAATGCCATAAGATTCATCTGCTCTTTATGCCCGTTATCTCTAAGATGAAAAATTAACAGGAGGAGGGATTGTTAGATCACTGTAAGTTATCTATGGTATAGTTTTGCAAGCCTTGTATAATGTACCAGAACCTTTACAAATTGGCTGAACAGAACTTGGTTGCTGGGACTGCGACTGACATAAAATCAGACATCACACTGACAGTTGTCTGACACGGGTCACCACCCGATCTGATACGTGTGGGTCAGATCTACATCCCTACTTATTGTTTGAAGAATTTTCAAATTGATGATGGCTATGTTAAGAATATGATAGATCCTCTTTGTTTGTGTTCTATTCCTTCACGTATTTTCATCCTTCACCTCCCCTGGCCTTCCTGCTCATGAAACACCTCAGACAGCCGTGTTGGCTCGGTGGGCCATTATTAAAGCCTGGTAGGCTGCCTCCCTAAAGGTTCATCCTTTCATTCAGTCCGAAGGAGACATCAGCATTAATGCATCAGGACACGCAGCTGTGTGGCCTGCTCCTGTATGCACATGGCCAGGCCAACACACCGACACACACTCACTGTGAGTGAGGCAGCAGGTTCAGCCCCAAGAGTGGGGGGTGATATCATATGCTTTTACGCTATACTTGCACAGGAGTACCCAAGCACCATCTGTCTGTCTGTGCAGCCAAGCTCTGTTTCTTTTTCCCTTGTGTGTGTGTGTGCGTGCGTGCGGAGCGTGTGTGTGTGTATTTGTATGGGAGACAGTGAGGCAGGGAAAGTAGCGTCCAGCAGCTGTATTTACACCTGTATGAGCAGATCCCTGTTGGCAGGGGAGCAGAGGAACACACCAGCTGCTTAACCTAAATTCCCTTCAACGTCGGCCATGTGTGCACTTCACTGTGCCGTGACACACAAACACCAACACACAATCTGTGGAAACCTTTGCCCTCTTTTTTGTGTGACCAGGCAGGCTGCAAGGATGTCTTAATAGAGACATCGGCGGTCCCAGAGACCACCAATGTACCGGAGATGGTGCTGTTTGTCCTCGGTTTCTGACATGAAAGAAACCCTCCACAAGTTCACACAGAGCGCGCTTGTCTTTTGATGTAGTTTTTGTGCTCACCCCGTGTCAGAGCAGGGAGGTAGAGTCGGATGTGGCTCAGCATCCGCCTGATAACCCCGCTGCAGACGAGGCCGTGTCAGGCAGCAGAGGAACGCAGCCAAGCATCTGCTAGTCCTCACAGTTCGCTTGAAGTTCCAAAGTCTGAGAGGTGTGTAGTTGCGACCCGGCCTCATGTTTTCTGTTAGTTTTTCCTAAAGCTTGAATCGCGGTTAGTTCAGTCTCAGAATAATGATCAGGAGTCTCTCCCGGTGAGAATAATATCGACAGGAAGCTTGACGGACAACGCAGTCCAATAATGCAAGATTTAACTTGTCAAAATGCCAGTCAGAGTCACATGTGGGATTTGCACACACAGTACAGCACACTTATCCCATCTACACACTGTCTGAATTTAACACAGACAAATGAAAATCTAAATGGAGAGATTGTCACACGCGAAGCAAAGCAGCACCATGGAGCAAATCCCTGCGATAACATTTTCAGGCAAATGCATATCAAGTGCAGGCGGGGTGACGAGAAACATGGCAGCAAAAGAACAAATGAGACCCTGTGACCTGTCACAGATGTGCCCTCAGCTTACAATAATACGTGTTTAAGAGCCAGCACTGCACTGAGCCATTGTCTTCCACCGCCTGGCTGAGGCCAGAGCTAAAAAGCAGCTTTAAGAAGGCCATGCCCACATGGCAGAAAAACATTTTCACAAATCACCTCACTTCCCTCAATGTTTTAATGGCTCATGTGCTGCTCTTAGGGCCATTGGGTTAGGAGTTAAATGTGTGAATGATTATTCTCTGAGAGTGGGGTCATTGCCCTCAGAGGTCAGAAACACACTCTCTTTTCTCTCTTTCTTCTGCCTGCGGTCAGTAAATAGCTGTCTTAACACCCATTACCAAATGGTGACCAGTTGGAGTCTTTTTCCACAAATGTCAGGGATGTACCATGGGATCACTGGGCCTTTTTTATCAACATTGAAGTGTTGAGCATCATCACTCATCATCACTCACTCAAAATGATGGACACGTTTCCCAGAATGACTACATTTAAGGTTAAAAGTTCTGAGAAAATTTGCTCTTTTTTTATTTGAAAGAACTTACAGTTGGTTTAGAATCTTAAGCACACAAAAAATGTGTGCTTAAGAAATGGAATGTGATTTGTATTTTTGTAAACTAAAAGTTAGATTTTGGTATCTTATGACCTGCTCATGCTGATTTCGAATTGATTCTAATGTATTTTTAAAAATTATGAGCAATAAAATACAAGTGCAGTGAAATCCCCCATCTTATGGAACAAATGTGTTTTTATTTTCTGAATTAGACAAAGTCTTCTTCACGCCGTCAGTCTCTTCCTCAATCTGTTCTTGGTCATGTCTCTCACATGGTCAATAAAAAATATTTTGAATTATGTACTTTTTTGTCCCATAGATATGCATCAGTCTATATGCCAGACAGCCACTCCTTCCGTGAACAGGAGTTCAAAATTAATGCTTTTTTTTTTCTGTTCAAATTGTCAATTTACATCTCTCTTCATACTTTTACCCGCATTTGGTCATCGGCAGCTGACCATGGTAAAGTCTTTTTTTCTAGAAACGTCTTACAGGTTTGTGCTTCCTCTAATAGAACAACATTCTATTAACAATTGAATGTTGTTCAGTTGTTAATAGTAGAGAAAACCAGAAGCAGTAGTGCCTCTGTTTCTCTGCTAAAATGGCAACAAAGGTAAAGTTGTTCACAATAAACACAGCAAACAGGAAGACGACAAAGTTGTTGAGCCATTTAAAATGGTACCGCAGGCTTTCCACATCTCACAGAGCACAGACTTACATCTCATGTCTTTTGTTGATTTCATGTGAAGCATTTTAGACAGACCTGTGTATAAACGGTGCTAGATAGATAAACTTAACTTTTTCAAGCCATCAATAGAAAATAGTGATGGCTGCAAATTTCAAATTACAAGAGAATTAATCAGAGCAGCAGCTGAGAGGTCCATGGTAGCTCGGGGGGAGTTGCAGAGATTCACTCCTCAGGTCTGAGAATCTACTGACATGGCGACTATCAACTCCTCTTTAATGTGGATTTAACTGAAGAGTGGCTGGAAGAAAGTCATACTCAAAGACAAACATAGGAAGTTTGACTTTACACTTTTACTTTGTTCCAACAGTTGCCATATATTTACTTTCCAGTGCATGTATTATTATATATATTTCTCAGGCTTTCTGGTTCATGTGGGGTCAATCTAAAGCCTATTTGACCCATTTCCACATAGATGTCTTCCATCGGTGTCTCTCCATTTTCACTGTTGGAGACCCAAATAGGGGCTCGGTGGGGTCAGTAGTCTCAGCAGTAGAGTAGATAAACCAGTGGTCTCTGTTAAACCTACCACTGTGTTCATTTGTCAACTTGCGCTCCAGGAGTAAAACGTTCCACAGCCAAAAGTTGCTCTGCATCTCCCAGAGGAACATCTCCCTCCATATTCATGCACCAGGTCTAATTGGACACTGTGTGCTATCACTGGGAGGGCCCAGGCGGATGCGATGAGAGCGATAAAATAAAGAAGGGCTGCAGAGTGCTTTAGTTGGCTGGGGGATCCTTTTTTTCAGGACTGGGGAGGGTGGCTCGCGGGGACAGAGTTCAGTCTCATTGGATCTTTATTGCTGTAGGGAAAGAGACTTATTTACTGTAAACTGTTTACAGAGCTCTGTCACTATCTCTGGCTACGCAGAATAAACACAGGAACACACTCCTACTCCTGATGTCTTGTAAACACCAGAAACACACTCACAGACTGACGGACAGCAATGTACCCTGAAAAAGACACACTCAACTCTGGATGACTCCTGGACACACGGGCACACACACACACACACACGCACACGCACACACGTTGCATATTTGTTAACATATTCACAGTGGATACACATTTGCCCAAACCCTATCTTCCAAAAGGCCATGCTCTGCCATAAATATACAGTTGCTCTAAAAAAAGATGCTGCTTGCAAACACACAGCTCCTTGTTTCAACAATGCATGAGTCCTGTTAGTTTTACTGGTGTCCCCAGTTGTTATACAAATTGAGTAAACTCTTCAGACTTGTTCTTTATCTGCAGTCCACATTTTTCCCATCTTTACTGTATTTGCATGGTACAATCCAACACGACTGTGAGAATGAATGCAATTCATAAAAATGAAAAACAAAGTGAGACAAATGAAAGGAAAATAAAGTGACACATGTCAAAAAAAGGTTGCTGCTCCACTTCACCCCTCTAACTGTGGACATGTTCTGTCTGTAAAGTAAATCTCAGTGTTTACAGAGCAGCTTGAGCAGATGAATCCTCCAACCATCCTGCAGGTTTTCAGATCCATGTTGGTGCTCAGACATTCTGTTTCCTGCCTCAGGTGCACTTAAACAGACATGTCAAAAAGTGTGTAATGTGAAAAGTGTGTTTGGTCAGGTGTGCTAGTTTAATAATAGGTTTTCCATCTATCTCTGTGTCCCCACACCCTTGATTCTCCCACCACGCCTCTCTCCCTCTCTCTCATGAAGACCTTACCTCTTTGGGGCGGGATGTTTTGCCATTAAAACTCCATGGTGAGTTTTGCTTTTCCCCTCGTTGACTCCATCAGCAGCATGCAGCAATACTCTCTACCAAACTTGCCTCCTTTGTTGTTTTTTTCTTTTGTTTGTTTGTTTTACGTGCCTTGTGGATTTTTGAAACTCATCTTGACATTTTTATTTTCATTTCTCAAAGGGGAAAATTCCAAAGAGGCATATTTTTCCCCCTCTCCTTTTGCATTTTTGGTGTTGGCTTGCACACCTTTTGTATTGTATGACAAATAGTGGCACTAGATGAAGTTATACTGCCTGATAAGTGTATTCATTTTTGTTTAATGTCTAATATTTCTTAAAAGGAGATGGTAACTGTTTCATTGACAGTAATTTCAGGGGACATTTTCAGGCCTCAGGGCCCTCTGGGCTGGCTGCTGTGTGGCCCCTTTGTGCCACCCTTTAGAAAATGGCATTGCTGGCTTCTCCTCTGTTCGTTGCCTTTGTGTAGACCCTCCACAGTGTTTTTCCAAGAATGACGCTTTTGTGTAAAACACATGTTGTTCAGATTTTGTTTGGTTTCATTTTTTTCCATTGGATGTGTGTTTGCACGCAGCAGTTCTGCCTTGTCATAATGTGGTGTGATTCTCAGTGTGTTGTGTGGCTCGATGGTTTTCGGAGATGTGTGCTTTTCGCTTGGAAAATTCCTCAACAGACAGCAACAAGTGAACCAAATGTTCTCGATTTGATTTTCATGTATTGTGTGTAGGCCAATCTTAATGCTACCATTCTGGTATCACGTTTATAATTACTCATAATATGTATGAGCCATATGCAGTTTTTTCTTTTCCTGGTGTATGCATTGACATTCATCTGTTCAGATTTGTTCTGATACAAATACAAAGGATCTTTACAAACCTCCAAAAAGTGTGATGTGGTTTGAATTGGTATTAAAAGTGTCACTGATAAGATGTTGGAACTATGCAGACGTTGCCGGTATGAAGTTATATCATTCACATAGTTGATTTTTTTTTCATAACTTAGATACAATTTAAATCCAAGCTCAAAAGTTACCGGGTGTATCAACTACAATAGCAATTTCTATCCTTATCATTTCTGAGTGTACCTCTTGCATGAAATGTTGAATAAACATTCATGTTGTTTCAGCATACTATCTCCAATGTTCACTGGACTCAGGGTTACGCCAAGTCAGCTGTTTGGGATCTTGGAACCGTGAACGTTCTGATTGTCATAAGGGGAAAGTCGGGGCAACAAATATGTAGTATTCTTTAAAAAAAAGTGTCAAACATGCCATTTTAATGGTGTATGAAATATTCATTCAATGAACCACTTTGAAAGTGTATCAATTCAGACAACTGTCTACCACTAACTGGTAAAGAGATAACATGTAGTGAGCTACCTTTGTTAGCAAGTTGTTTGTTTTTCTTCATTATCAGCTTTTTCAGGTGAATGCTGTAATGGATGCCTAAGCGATGCATAGCAGCTGGGTTTTCTAATTACCCTAGTGAACACATAAACCTATTATCTTTACCAAAATATACAAATCTTCAACATGAATGGATGAAAGCAAGTAGAGAGAACAAATGGCTTCCCACTCCATTTTCTGTACACTGTAGCGATCTTTTCATGCAGATTGTCTGTCACACAAAAGGTCCAAAAGGGTTAAAATATGTTTAATAAAAAATCAGATCAACAATAATAATGAACATACAGAAGGATTATTTGTTGGTAAACATGGCAGATGACAAAATACGTTATGGTACCAAACAGACATTGATGAATGAGATCCATTTTAATGATGCTTAGGCGTTACATGCAGGTGACTGAATAAATGACGAAATCAAAAGAGTAGCAGGCTCAGCAGGAGGCAGTGTGAGGTGAGACACTGTACTAAATATAAAACCTCCAACCTCTGCAGCAAGTAACAGGTGAAGAGATGTGACCTGTGCTGATGGCGAGTTGTAAATTATGTTATTGGCATAATTGTAAATAGTCTAAACAGTTATTCTTTCTTGCATTCTGCAGGCAACGTGCACAGTCCAGTGGGTTTTGACATCAATGGATGATAACTCTGTACTCTACAAGATTATAACATAGAAATACTATATAGTCATCAGAAGTAGAAAACTCTTAACTCAGCACTTGCTCATATATTCTAATATCTGACATTTATTTAAAACATTAAAGTAAAAAATATTCTTACTGATGCTAAAGTAATAAAGCCTACAAACAATCAGTTGTGTTATCTGTGATTTATTTATTACTTTGATTTAGCACAAATACAAAATATTTATTTGCTCATCACAGATGAAAGACATTTTGAATGGTCTATATCTCTATGCTTCTTAAAAAAAAGTGTCAAACATGCCATTTTAATGGTGTATGAAATATTCATTCAATGAACCACTTTGAAAGTGTATCAATTCAGACAACTGTCTACCACTAACTGGTAAGATTCTTCCACAGAACCCTACTTAAAAATGTCCTCACTATTCCTTTGATTTAGTGCAGTATTTATCACAAATACTTAATTTGTGAAATGATATGTTTACATAGTGTTACATTGTGCCTATTGGTGAATATTTTTAGTTCCTGAACATCATTGTGGATGATTTAAAATGTAAATAAAACACTTCCTCCTTATCCAACATAAGCATCATCTTTTAATAATATTCATCCAAAGCATCACCTTATGTAATCTTCAGAGTTCCTATCAAGTTATTATTGTGTCAAAAAATAAAAATGAAATGAAAACAACTAAATGTGATTAAAATAAAAGATGATGGGGATCTGGAGCAATGAGTGAGCTCTCCCGGTTTTCAGAGTTATTTTAAAAGCACAGGAACGTCATTCTTTTTTTTTTTCTTTCTTTGGGATGAGCTGAAGCTAAGTCTCTTGTCAACACTGCCTCGTGAAATCAGATGCTTACAAGCTTTTAAAGGAAGCCCCATTATGACAGAGTCACTTATGGAGAGATGATTGAGTGGTTCAGTGAAGTGAACTTTTCCCTTCCCGGCTCCCTGCTCTCCTGCTCCTCCCTGCTGACTCCATTCACTTTAGAAAATGAATAGCATGTGGTGCCTTCTCCAAGTCTTGGGTTTCTCCTTTTGTTGTGGCCAGTCACTCATACTTTTTAATTGAAATTTTTTTTCTTTCTGCCTTCATTCAGCATCTAGCTAATCTGGACCCTCGGACCATATAGATTTTCAGTGCTACACATCCTTAGCAGTTTTGAGTCCCTCTACTCAAAATAACTACTTTTGGATCAAATTTGAACAAATGAAAAAACATCTTGTTTTCTGAATAGCCTGAATGAACTGTAGCAGTGCATTGTCCATTTTTTGGGCTTCTTGTAAGGCACTCTGGATTTTAGACCCCAAAACAGATGAAAGAAAAAAATAAAAGTATCCTTAAAGTTTTAATGGCTGTTTTCCAATTTTCTCCTCTGCGTTTCCTAAGCAGTTGTCAATAGTGCAATATGCTCAACAGAGTCTCAAGGCTCCCTTTTTTTTCCAAGAGCTGTAGTAAAATAATTAATGTTACGTTGAAGGATGTGTCCTCCACATGACTGCTCGCATTCTCTTCTTTTTTTTTCCTTTCTTTGTGCAGTCTCCTTTGCTGATAACTATTAAATAAGCCATACAGCTCCTTTAAAACTGGATGACTAACGAAGTAAGTTGTGTTATAATTGTTTACTGTGACGACGACTGAAAATAAATGAAGGCTGCCACTGGACATGCAGTCGTGCACCCCCCATCTCCCTCCCGCTCCTCCTGAGCGGCGCCTCATGTTAGCTCCGGACATAGTAATGCGAAGGGACTTTGATGGTTGATGTCGCAGATTGAATTATGCCCCTGAGGAAAAGCTATTAGCTCAGTCAAGAGGCCTCATTTGTGAAATTAAAAGTGGAAACGACATGTGAGTAGTCTTTTCAGTGAATTAAAGTTGCAAAGAAAAAAAATTGATTTGCCTCCCCTCTAAAGTCCATGTTACAAAAAGGAGAAGGACGGACAGAAAGATTAGCCATTTGTTTAGAAACATCTGGTTCCCTCTGCACCCAGTTCCATTGCAGTATATATTTATGTTCCTAATTTGCCAATATTGAGTTACATTTTTTTGTAACTTTGAGCTGTTGGTTTACCCATTACTGCACCAGTGGCGTACTTCATAAACCGTATGTTCCATACGGAGAGGAGAATGAAGCCCTGGAGCTGCACTTTTTAGTCACAAGGGCAGAAACCTCAACAGTTCAAGCCACTTCCAGTGAGATCAAGAGCAAACGTATGATTTAAAATGCAGATGAATGTATTTTAGTGGCCACTCTACCCAGATGAGAAAGGAACCAAGCTGTGATCTTCACTCCTGTTGGCAGGCTTGGTGCTAGCTGAGGGCTCTTCAAAGAGGCTATGAAACCACAGTAGGGAGCCAGTGTTATAGCCTGCTGTTGGAGACTTCTAAGTATATACATGGTGTGATTATTTATGTATTTACACATTAGATGTGGTTGCAATATTGGTCAGTATATCATGAATTGCTCCAAACACTAAGCTCTAGTACTCCATACATGTTTTGTATTTATTTGGCTTTCATAGTCAATCATTTGTCAAGCTGCTTAAGAGAATCTAACTTTAATTTCTAAGTTTACATTGTGAGCATTTACATCTTCTAATTATTTCAAAAAACATCGTCCAGTCTAAATTCTAAGTCCATATGTGGAATATTCTGCAGTTTCTGACCTCTTGAGCCTTGAACCCGACATGAGCTGATTTGTGTACCATGGGTTATAGAAACCAGCGAACCGCACAGCCTTTGAGAGTCTAACATATTTTCCAGAAATAAAAGAAATGGAACAGCTGGTTTTTAGAAAATGAACTCTGCCAAAAAAATAACTTGGTCCCAAAGTCATGAACATGATGTTCAGTTGCCCTGTTTGAGGGGATTCCTGGTTTTCTTATGCTGATTGCCAATTGTACATGCATCCACCTATTTCCATTGTAATGTACTGATTCTCAAATTTTTAAGGTGTTTAAACATATGCCACACATTGAATATTCTTAGTTTTCCTCATACTTCCTTTCAGATTTTCTGCTGTATGAATGTTTAAATATTGGCCTGAATCAATTAAGCAATACTGAGAAAATGAAGTATGCATTTAGAGGTAAAAAAGAAGCCCCTAAAACTTTATTATTTTATGGCCGGTTTACTATGTGTTTTGTCCTCTGGATGCTTTGAAGCAAATCTGGATCTGTGGAAGGAGAGGACATGAACAAACTAAAGTCAGCCAGAGCAATATCCTGAGTTCAACTTCCTCTCTTTCCCTCTCTTCCTGTTATAGACAAGGCTTACTATGTATATGAGGTTATTCATCCTTCTTCTCTTGGCCCAGCACTAATAAATGAAAGCCTAGATCTTGTACCATGGTCTTTCCTGGGACTACTATCACTACTTCATTTTTCCAGATCGCTCTTTCATACAGCAGGCAAACAAAGGCATCAACTTCCCTTTGTATCCAGGGGCTAATTTATGAGGTGCTGACAGTCTGTAGGGAGGTAGCAGAAAGAGACTTTTACCAGCAACTGCTCTTTCAGCGTCCTGAATTGTGAAAGTCCCTTCAACAATTAGACACACTTTCTCCACCTCCAGGGTTTATTGTTCACCTTAAGGTTTCATTCCATCTTTTATTAAGTTCTATTGTTTGTTTACCTGAACCTCACTTCAGAACAAAGGAAACAGCTGTTTGGTCATTGTTAGAGCACTGTGCAGATATTGAACACAGTTCATGTAGTTGAGTAAATGAACAAAATAAATAAATAAATAAATAAATGAATGAATAAATAATAATTGTCCCAGAATATTTGATGTTGTGAGAGTGATGTACCCAAATGTAAAAAAAAATTAATTAATTAATTAACAAATTGTTTCAGTATTTATAGTGGTTTATTGTGTATTTCCAGAACACAACAGCATAGCAAGCAGCACAACATTTGAGAAATGGAGAGAAAAAAGAGAGAGCAAGGGAGCCGTCGCCTCACTTTTTTTCCCTTTAACTGCTCAGTTCTCGTCCTGAGTGTAACCGCTCTGCTCACTGTAGAACTTTGTTCTGATTGGGATGGCAGCCTTGTGGCCAATCACGTGTGAGGATATGGGATCCCACAGAGGGAAGGGGTGCTATGTGAGGCAGAAGCTCACCTGGAGACTGCATCTTCAAGAAAGAGCTTTGTGGAAACAGTCGTAGCTTTGTTGAAATAGGGGGGACTTTGTGACAGAAAGCATTTAGGCACCCCTGAATGTGTGTCATGGGAAATTCAAGGATTACTCAACCATACATGAATGAACCAAAGTAACAGTCCAGGTGGGTTTTTGTTAAGGGACTAATGTAACATAATATAAAGCTCAAAAAGTTGATTTTACCTAATTCAACTTTCAAATTCAGGAAATTTTGCCCAACACAGGACTCTACCTTCAATACAACAATGCTTGATGGAGAACCAAAACTAATCTGCAGGAAAGCATCAGAAGCACATTGAAGTAGTACCTGCTTCCTCCAGTAAATGGGTACTGAAAACCAGAATGAACTATCCTCTTTTTGCTTCCATCTTTGTTTAATTTTTAATAATTTATCCCCAAAAAAATAATGATATGTTTATATCTGAAGTTAGTTTTTGCAACTACCTACACCAAAAGAAGATAAAGAAGATCTTCAGCTACATTTATTATATGCATGCGGTGTAGTTGTTGTCAACTACATGTTTTCAATTATTTTTGTAAGTCCTTGAGTGACTGTCACTCAAGGACTTACAAGAACTTATTTTCATTATAGTGTTCTATTTAAAGGTCAGAGTTCAGCAGAGCTGAGGAAGAGTGTAACACCAGATAGTCCACTTCTAGACTGATCAGCAGCAAACACTTTTCTCTGTTCGGGTTTGTTCTAAGTAATGTTCACAGTAATACCAGATCTTGCTACTGTTGTTTGATTGCAACCGTATGGGCGACCCGTTGAAAGTCCACTTTCTATGAAGCAGTAATGACATGCTAAATAATCCTATAGCTTCCTAATAAATTTCTCCCAAAGTAAAACAGACCACGCAGCTCAGACATGTTTGTGAGTTTCAGTGATAACCAGAGCGTTTGTAGGTCTTGTACTTTAAGGTAAGATCTGTAGGCTAAGCTAAATGGCTTTACATCATCTTGTAAAAGTAGATTCTGTCATTTTATAAGTAGCCTTCAAAGCTTTTTGTAAGGAATTATTTTTTGATAGAACACAAAGTATTGCAGGACTACCAGGTGGTTTTTCATTGTTCAGTTATTGACAAAAGGGTGGTATGCATGCAATCTTCTTCATTTTACTATTCTACCCTCAAATAAAACCCAATGCAACAAATTTCCTCAAAAGTCACAGAATTAGCTCACCTGTTTGTCTTTTTTTTTGGAATCAACCTTTCTCTTTTTTTAGAGAACAAAGAGTGTCATTGAGGAAGCAAGAAAAACAGCAGACAGGTCAAGGAAAAAAATGTGGAGAAGTTTAATATCATAGAACTTTGTCCAATCCATGTTCAGAAAACAAAAATGACATGAAAAAAAAAGTATTGCTCTCTCTACCCAGTCTGACAGTTATGGGATGTCTATAGGTATACTATATTTTTTTCATATAATTTTTGTATAATATACTTGTAGACATCCCATAACTGTCAGATTGAGTAGTGAGAGCAATAAACTTATACATAGGTAGGAACAGATAAACACAAGGAGGTGCTAGAGCACCTGACAATTTTCCTCTGGACAAGAAAAGCACTTCTGAAATCTTGTTTTCTTTTTGGGTTTTTTTTTTCCCAAGACCGCATATGATTTGAACTAGGTATATATACATGATGCCTGTGTGGGAAAAAAATCTCACACTACTAAGGCAGCCAGCAGTTCCATGTGCCACACAACTGTCCTTTTTATCCACGTGAGCTCCTGCCCCTAACATGCCACCGGTTAAGAACTAGGGTAAGTTGGTTGCAGAGATCTCCAACTAAAATGGGAGAACCAGTTTGTTGTTCTGCTGTTGTACTTGGAAATTACATAGTCTTCATCTTATCTAACTGAGCAGGAGCTGTTCTCTAAAGAAAAATGCCTAGATGTTGAAAGGTGATAGAAGCAGAAATAGGGAGGGGGGTTTCCTCTTCTGTGGTTTTGTTAAAAATGAAAGAGAGCTATTTCACTCCATGCATGCCAGTCTCTCATTTCTTTCATTTTTTTTTTTACGTTTTTAATATTTTATTTCCACTTATATAAAGTAGTCATCCTAAAATGTGTCGTATTTAATAGATACTTTTCAATTTTCCCCTGCTCCTTCCTTTGCATGGTAAACTATTATTACTGTGACTCTGCACCTCCCACATACTTGCCAACATGCTTTATTTATTTATTTCTAAATCCCTCTTTTGGTATTACAGGCTGTCCTTTATATTTTTCCTGTATTTCATGTAATCTTGGGATAAATGCAGATTGTCATTAGGTTGTGGATTATTCCATCCCTTCGCCATGCTATACTTTTAAAGTTTTGGATATGAAATGAGGCTGCAGGATGTTTCATCTGATTAGGATATGGAATCCAGTGTTTAGATGTGCCACATATAAAATAACACTGGAATGATATGGCTTAATTACCTCCTTATTGTGTAGATAAGTTCTCCAGAGCCTTGCTAATGACCTATTTATTCTATTCAGGTGTGGTGCAGCAGAGGCTCATCTAAAAGTTGCAGGACACTGGCCCTTGAGGACACCAATGATTTACACTATTTTTTGGTATTCAATAAAAAGTCTACTGTAAGGAACCATGGTTACTAGAGTCCATAAAATTATAAGATATTTTTGTTTGATTTGTGATCATATTTCATTCCATTTTAAAGGAGACAAAGGGTCCAACTTCGGATCCCAATGAAAAGAGTGTAATGCAACAGTTCAGATATTGTTCAGTTGAAATTAACTCCACATGACATTTTAGCCTTTTGAAAACAAACTACTTTACTGCAATAAAAAAACAAAAAAACAGTAGCATTTTGGTAAATAAGTTGTATTTCCCTTACCTTGGCTAAACTTTTCAATTCTTTCTTCCTCTTGAAGCAAAGCTAAACCACCACCCCAGATCTCTCCGAGCAAATCCAATGGAGGAGAGTTTTGCGTTGCTGCCATCTTTGCCTCGTCCCGCTCCTGGTTCCTCACAAATCCAAACATAAAGAGAGAGAAAGGTATTTGAGTCAAACCCAGGATGCACAGAAGTTTTACCCTCCATAGACACTTTTCAAACTACTTTTGAGCTTAGTGCACTTCTTGGTAATTAAGACCCATTAGAATGTCTGGTTGAATTGAAATTATTATTTGCAAAGTGCCTTGAGACGACATTTATTGGGAATTGGCACTATAGAAATTGACCAGAACATTTGACAGGTCTGTTGTGTGTTATTCATGACTTTGCTTCACAACATTGTCACAGATCAGTCCCGGCAGTCAGTTGTGGACTCACTGTACATAATCAGTTGCTATGGTAATGTGGTGGAGCATGTCCTGGAGCCTCGGCCAATTAGCACTGCACAAAAGATTAGCGACGAGACTCCGCTGGAGCTGAACACATCTCCCAGAGCATGCTGGACCTTAGCCAGGTAACAGCTTATGTTCCACTTTCTCTTCCAAAATGTGTTAGAATCTTGTTTCTATGGATTCATGTTGGATTATGGCACTTCTCATGTAGGACTCCGCAGTGGAACGAGTTGCAGCCACCTTTCAGCTCCAACCACCCGTTGGTGCTAGCCTCGGATCTGGTTCAGTACTACCAGTATCTTCTCGCTGGTAGGTTTCACAGTTGTTCTCTTTACATCAACATCGGTATTGACTTGGCTAACTGTCCGGTTTGTATGTTTTGTTTTGGTTTGATGCATCTAACCTTTTATATGTGTTGCTGAAAGCCAGTTTCCAGTGTGTTCTCAATGCCACGTGCTGAGGAGAAACCATTGTAGTCAGACCCTAGTTAGTCAGCTGGAAGATCAATCAACCATGAATATATCCTGTGCCAATTCCTTCATAATGCCACATTCGAACCAATTAGCTGGCACCCTAAATTCCCTCATATTCGGTAACAAGTGCTCATCAGTGAGGTCTGTGGTTTGTTGTCTTAGAGGTCATGTAGCACGGATGGCCACCCATAGATTCAATCCACCCCCACAGGAATAGGACAGCGTTTTGAGCTCACTCCATAATTATAAGCATTCAAAATGTTTAATTAGTTTTAGTAGGTTCCCCAGGCCAAGTTGTAGCTGTACACAAATCTTTGGACTCATACCCACTGAGTACTGCAGTGCTTCAGGTCTTACTGGTAGGATATTTTGTCAAATTAGTGGTAATGGTCTCTCATAGTGTCAGAGCGATGAGAATGCGTTGGAGTGACGGGTTCGGGCGTCAGCTTTTTCCACCATTCTGGGCCAGCATGAGTATTGAAACTGGCTGCATAATGAGCGAGATTCATTGCATTAACATTTACATCCAATTAACAATAGCCGGATAAAACCACTGTGGTTCTTTACTCCCATGGTCAACCAAGTGTGAAGCAATGTGAGGTCAAGATGTTATAAACATAATTGTTCAACCCCCTACGCATTTCCTGTTCTCTTGCCATTTACCCTTTGGGTCTGCATCCCATACACCACCAACAACCGAGTTTCTCTTGGACTGCCACCTTCCATTTCTGCGCTTTGCACCCAGAAAGAGACTCTCAGCATCCTGTTTCTCAGCATGTGTCCCCTTGCCAGCTCTCTCCTCTGCTGCTCCCTCCAGGGCTTGGCAGCCTAGCTGAGAAGTGATCCAGGAGAAAGAGTCAATTTGACCTTAGGAGGAATTACAGCAGCACCATAAGTTGCTTGTCCAAGTGCCTCTTGCTGAGCAAACGGATTAGTACTTTGAAAAGAAACCGAAAAGACACTGTTCTAACTCGCAGAACAAAAAGCTATCTAGGTCAGATTTGCATTGGCCAGCAATCATTACATTATGCTGCATTGTAGGAACAAACATGAAAACAGGAACATTTTACAGCTAAGAAGCTGGAGTACTGTTGAATCAAAGTGTCAATAAATCTGTCCTGAACCTAGTTGTGCTGCAGACACATTGTTTTCAAATTGTCTGTGGAAGTTAAAAGGTTGCCAGCTTCTGATTGACAGGCCATAGTCTCCAGTCTCATGGCTCTATATTGGATGACCCAGCCTGATTAAAAATGCAGCTTGCAAGAAAAAGGAATAGGAAGGGAGGAGGAGAGGAAGGCCCAGGGTCAGACCAGACCGGAGCCTGGAGGACGGGAAGATAAAAGACACCAGTGGCGCCACTTCATGGTCACTATCTCCACCTGTCCATCTGTAGCAGCTACTGGCAGCACTCAGCGCTGCAGAGGATGGCAAGGCACAGCAAATCTTTGAAGAGATAAGGAAACAAGAGAGACACACTGTACACTCAAAAGGAGATGAGATCCAGCACTACAACCTGGCAGGCTTGGGGCAGCTTTTTAGTGCTCCAGGTAGTTTCTACTGTTTGTTCGTGAGATTCATGTATGCAATTAAAAACTGCCTTTATGGCAGATAAAAAAATGTTTTTGAACTTCTGGTGTCATAACTGAAAATTAGGAAGTTCTGAATAAGTCATCCCAAGAATGTGCTTTTTTTCAGACAAACTTTTCTCTCAAGATTATTTTCGCTTATGAATATTTATCCGTCAGTCCACAGCATGTGTTCAGACACCTCTTCCCCTCATGACAAACTTTGCTCCAGAGCAAACAAACTAGTGAATAATTTACCACCTGAGTTCCTGCCTGGCTGCTATGATGGTGGCAGAAACAAAGGTTATGCTTTCTGGCCACAGGCTTGCTTCTCTCTGTCATTTAATGTGCTAATTGTGGAGACTGGCTGACTGGCTGGCTTGCTTGCCAGCTCTCTTAGGACTTTGAGGCCCATGACAGCCCAGCCACATTTGCCTTGTCAATAGATCTAATTGCTCTGAGAAAGGGGCCGGAGTGAAGGCTTTGGAGCATCAGGCGTTTGGTAAAGAGAGACCCTGGCGCCATGACTGGGTCAGTAATCAAAGAGAGACAGAGAAAGGATGGGGTAAGTGCAGTGCTTGGCTGAATGAAGTAACTGTCAGTCAAATACACCTTGAATGATATATAATGACTAAGCTATTCCACTCTGTCACCATGCCAGCACCTGTCTGCCATAAGACTTCTCAAACGAGAAAAGTGAGAAGCAGGACAGGTGGAGAGGTTGAGTGAGCCAAGCCAGACATGTCTGGCAAACAAGTACAGTAAAGATTTGAAGATTGCTCATGAAAGATAGAAAGTGGAGAAATGGAGAGAGCAGGTAACCGAGACAAGACAGCTCACCTCTGTTCGCTGTGCAGCCAGCGCTGCAGATCTATCAGGTTGTTAGCTCCTTATCTATCCCTGGAGATCACCCTGTCCGGCCCCGGGCCCCCGGGCCCCCAGCCCCCTGGCCCCAGCAGGTTGGGCTACATCAATATCTAGGCAGCCTTTGTTCTTGTTCTGACTCCCTGCTTCACTGCTCCGGTTAACAGGCCACTGGCTACCAGCTTTCAGCCCAGCAAAACACCACTTACTGCACAGTCAATAAAGAGTGTGTCAGAAACATCTCTGTCCCTCGACAGTAGACTGGAGCTCACATCATGCTTTATGTGAGTATAGACATAATCTCAGCATCAAACGACAGGTTTCTACATCACAATGTTGCCATCAGGAGATGGTTAGGAGTTGTAGAAAATCCACTTCAAGCTCATCTGAGTTTAAACTGTCAGAAGCATTAAGGTGTTTTCAGATTATTTAGTATTTGTTTTTCTAGTTTACTTTTAAATTGTAGCTTTATTTAGTCTTCCGACAGTGAAAAAAAGCATCTGATTGTTGGCTTTGCTGCAGCATTAAGAGTCGAGGAATAAGACAATGACCAGTGGTGGCTTGATTATTGATTCAATTGTGCATTGTTTTGGATTTTGTCTTCTGACTCTTTTTTAATCATGTTAAGTGCAACAATTTGTGAAAATGTGAAGAATCATTTTAGTTTTTATCATAAGTCGATTCAAAATTGTATTAAAAAACTGAATAGTACAGTTAGGGGCGGGCGATGTGGACTTAAAATTTGATCACGACGTTGTGCTGTATAATTATAATAATAAAATTAGAAATAAAATTGTATTCCTTCTTTTTTAGATGACTGGATGACTGACTCCCATTTGATTTCCAAAACAACTTTTATTGTTTATTTTGTTGACTATTAAGATCCATAGCACACCACTGGCTCATATGTGTGGTTCTGTCCTGTCTTGGGCTGCAATGCTTCGGCTGTACTCAGAGCAATATGACGGTGAGCAGTGATGCACACCGCACTGACCAACAGCATCAAGTAGCTGTAACATCTAAAATAAAAGAATTACATCTGGATTTCTTTGGGCTTAAACATTAAACATGTGTTTGACATTATTAGAAGGTTTAGACTTCACACTTTCTAAATCTATATATATCTATATAGATATATCTATATATATATATATCTATATATATATATAGATATATCTATCTATATATATATATATCTATATATCTATCTATATATATATATATATCTATATATATATATATAGAGAGAGAGAGATATATATAGATATATATATATCTATATAGATATATATATAAACATTTTTAGCATGTGTTGTAAACAACTGAAGACAGAGAGTTGCTGCATGCTGAGATACACTTCACTGTTGACAAACCGTACCAACCCACCTACTTGAAACCCGATACAGCCAGTCCACCAAATGCTTCAGAGCATCAATAATTAATTTGGGAACAGCTATTGGCCTCAGGGGTCACAGAGCAAAGGGAAAGATAGGGATGGAGAAAGTCGGAGAGCCTAATTATGAGGATGGAGGTTATCAGGGAATGCTGATTTTGTTTAATAAGTAACAACATGAAAGCTTAGTTCTTCTTTCTCGTTTTTTTTTTTTTTTTTTTTTTTTTTTTAATCAGCTAGCCTTCTCTGCCACTTTCCACTCCACATGAGAGGATGCTTGTTCATCCTCTCATGGACTGAATGAGAGGATGAGCAATATATATATAGGATCTCAATATATAAGTGCATTTTTAAGATTTTCCATTCAAATCAATATAAAAATAAATTTAATTGAATTAAACTTTCCATTACAATCATTCTGGTTTTAATTGCTGAGGATTTTCAGTCTCTTTGCCCTTGACATTTTTTCTGTCTGCTCTTGCTGTAGCTATATAAAACATATTTAATGGGAACTATGGTCTATAAACAAGTGTAAAAATATTTTCACTATTCAACATATTCAACCAATAGAAAGTAAATAATAAGTATACTAGTGTTACAGTCTGACCAGTAAGGCACAAGGACAAAGGGATATATAAAAAATTATTTTCTATTCCTTTTTCAAAAAAATCTTAAGAAAAACAAATCTACAAAATATAGCAAAATGGACCCAAAATAAATAATCAACTAAGGCATACCTAACTCGGAATAACAAGCCAAAACTGACCTCACATAATGAACACACAGGGGAATTTATACACAAAGGCTAGCCTACACAAATGAGGAGGGCTGGGGAGAGAAGACAAAGGCAAACAATGCATAAACATAAATAACTAATTCAAAACAAAACATTTTGACTACAACACAAGTGTTAAAACAAAACACAGTAACTTCAAAAATGTGTTAGCAATTATGCTATTTGTACAGGGAGGCAGATTCTTCCACATCAAGTCCCCTCCTTCCAGCAGCATGATGGATTGTTCCACTTCCTGGTTTCCCTTTCAACCAGTCGTCTCCCCCAGAAGTCCTTCAAACTCAGCAAAACAAAATAGTTACCAATCCAAATAAACTAAATGTGTTTACTAAATGTGTGCACCCATAATAGTAAAACAACCTAATGCAATAACTACCACGAAAAGAGTGAAGTTATAAACATATTGTGTGAAAATTTCCAGATATATTATGTGAAAACATTTAAAATACTAACACCGGGGAAAAGATGGAGGAACCTCCACAGCTAGTCATTACCCCATGTTTTATAACAGCTCTGGGACATATATGGATCAACTTTGTCTGTGTAACTTTTCTTCTTGTTTTGATTGTCTTTTCTATCCATGGACACTTTTTACATTTTATAGATGTTACATAATACTGCCACTTGAAAATATCATCATGTTACAGTATCAGTCTCTCATCAAAAACATACTCGGAGTGTCGCTTTGATGTTTTTTATGCATCATAAAAAAACAGAATGGAGCCATTCTCCATTGTACGAGGAGAGAGCCATTCTCCTCTGATGGCAGATATGCTTGGTCTCACCAGGCTCTGACTCTTCCTCAAAGCTCCTCCTCAGAGCTACAGTCTCCATTCAAGCTTCCACCATACAGAGCACCCATCCCCTGTGACTTCCCCAATCAGCTCCTCCAGACTAGCTGCAGCAGCAATTAGCAGACTTGTGGTGGAACTGCGAGTGTCCTGCGTTTATTATAGGAGCTACGTCTGGTAAAAAATGTTGTCAAAGGCTTAATGGAGGATCATTGTTATGATGACATGCTGAAGGCGGAGTGTCAGAAAGATCAGGAGCTTCTTATAGAGATGTAGGTCCATTTGCAAAGAGTTTAATTGCAAAGTTACATTTCTTTTAATTCATGTGTGACTTATCCAGCATTTTTATAACAACTGAAGATAGTTACTTGATTGTGCTGTAAAATAGCGTTATATGACTGAAATTCACATTGTACTTCCCCTTTCAGGTCTTCAGTCAACCCATTTCATTTCCCAGAGTAGTATTTCTGGATTTGTTCTTGCCATCACGTTAGACGAGTCTCTTATCTCTTTCTTTGTCTGTAAAAGGATCAAGCAGCACCACTTTCACTGTTGAGTAGCTACACAGTTCTTTTTTCAATTATTCACACAGTGAATGAGGCCAGACCTTCTAATTCCATCGGGACATGTGTGAGTATGTTGGGGTGATGTGTGAATCAGCGACGATGTGACATTCACTGCAGAGGTGTCAAACACCGTACTGCCTCCATTAAGGGTGTGTGTGACCACCTGGCACATGTGTGAGGGGAAAGACAGGGGTGCTTCCTGTGCTCCAGATGTGGACTTGACAAGTTTATTAGCCATTCTTGTGTTAAACAAACCCCATCCCTGTGGTGGGAGATGGAGAGACGACTGACTCCACACATTAGAGCTCATTCTCCACGCCTGCTTATTCAAGCCTGCAGGAGCCCCATCTGTCTCTGGCTCACTCTGTCACTCTCTCGGCTTCGCCTTTTCACACTTTACTGTACATTTGCCTTTTTACACACACACTCATATGCCTGTTGGAGATGAAAACAAACAAAGAATTGTACTTTTTCCTTTCCTTTGACTCACAGTCCAAACATTAGCGCTCATGCAGTCAGCCATGTGATTTCAATGGTAGTTTATCTAAGAAACTCATCAGTCTTAGGTGTATGTACTGGCTCTATATATCAAGCTCTAATAACACTGTAAGCTTATAACTTGCTTGACAGCCTTTTCTTTCTAAACCTGATAGGTGTACAGTAAATAAAATGGTTTGTTATACATTTCTTTTTTTAATCTAAAATCTACTTCGTCTTTTTTTATTAATTTCATTGATTATGTTGAATTTAAAGTATAACTGTTTTTGGAGTGTTATCTTGTTTTGAATATAATATACTTTATTATGTGACAAGTTGTTCCTTTAAGGTGTTAAATAAAGGAGTAGCTTTGTTAAAAAAAAGTTCAGATTACATAATTTACATATTAAGCAGTATACAGTAAGCCCAACAGAATAAACTTTCATAGAGGCAAATAAGGTGATGAACAAAGACATCTGGAATGACATACTCATTGTTTATGTAATACAAACAATAAAATGTATAAAAAATACAGACATATATAAATCTGATGTTCTAATTGAAATGTAAATTAATTAATTAAAGTCAATAAAATAACAACCATCCATATGGAAATATGTCATTCTATAAATAAATCTATAAATGAGTCCAGAGAAATGTGACTTTTATTACATGCATTAAAATGTTTCTCATGCAAACTGAAATATTATTAAATCATTTCACATTTCAAAGGCTTTTGTTTGCTAATAATTTAAATTGAGATGGAGAAGCAGCGTAATTCATAGATTATATCGGATGTAAAGCTTCAGCAATCTGGCATCTTGGAAGCCAAATCTGATCTCTGTTTCTTTTATTTGTGCTGACCTGCTGATTTTGATTTGGACCGAATGTGCTGCAGCTCACTGATGGAGGAAATAGTTTTTAATCCAACTGAAAATTACGTAATAATGATATTATGCCCAAGTCTCATTGACAACAAAAAATGCATCCCACACAATATGGTGGTTTATGGGTCTATTTATTAAAAAACATTGAAACTTCTTACTTTTGATACATATAGTGCATCCATGCATCAGCTGAATCCACCACTATGTTAAGGTTGGTGTCTGTCTCCAGGGGTTATTGAGAGGCAGGACACAACCTGGACAGGCCTCCAGTCCTTCATAGCACAAACTACTACAGAGCAGTTAGCACAACAGTCATGCTTTTGGTCCAAATTTGCCTGGTGATTGAATGGAAACATAGGGAATGACTCCAAGCCCAATGTGGCTGTTCTTTTAGCATTCAGCCTGTTAATAAGACTGATATAGTAACTTCAAGTGAACTCCTACAGCCTTGCCTGAGCTGATAATAAGTGATGGAGTTAAATGTTCACTTTGCATTTGTACAAACTACAATTTCTGAGTAAATAAGAAGTGTTCGAAGTGAATTGTATTGCACTTAACCACTAAACAATAACCTACAAACAACCTGAACTGTCCTACAAAACCTGAAGTTGCATAGTGTGCCGCTCACAGTTTTGCCTCTCCAAAGCATTTGCAATGACTGATTGTGCTTTGGCTCATTCGGATGCCAGAAATCAGTCGAAATATTTTGTTTTTCTGAATGTTAATATGACTATGAGGCAGTGTTTCTCAGTAATTTTCTATCATGCTCCCAGTTGGATGATAATTTTTTTCACACCGCTCCCCAATACTTCTCCCCAGATTGAATTGCAATACTATTGTGAATATAATAATATTTCATAATTTATCTGTACTAACCCCTAAGCCCCAGCAACTCATGGCTAAAAAGTATCGCTACAAAGAAATATTTTTTTTTCATCTGTTTATGAATGTTTTATTTTCTCTTGTTCTCCATCAGGGATTCCTCCCAGCAGCCCGGGTCCAATCACACGTCATGAGTCATCCGACAGCTTGGCATCAGACCACAGTGGCCAAGACGATGAAGAATGGCTCTCTCAGGTAAGGATTTTGCCTCACCCAGCAATGCCCTGTAAGGATTGAACAAGCAGACAGTTCCATCACGTACCACACAGTAACATGTCAGGTACAACATGGTTGTCCTGTATTTAGCTCTCAGGGACATTCAGTATCTGATCCTTCTCCCACTGAGGTTAAGGAACTTGAAGAATTCAAGCAATATGGAGTTTAATCTTTCCTTAGATTTTACAGGAAGAACTTTATACTGCATGTAAAAGAACATGCTTTACTTTAAAGCTATTTCAGTGAAAATCTTGTAGGACCCTGCAGGTATTCAGCCTCATCTATTTTTACCTTAATATGTTTTAATTAAATGTTTCAATGTTCTTCCTAATATTGTATTCAGAGTCGTTCCAAACATCCTAAAGAATACATCAACCAGTTCCCAATTTTTCCCAAAGGCCTGAGAAATCTGGCACATTCACCCTGTTCTTTTCAGCTTGGTTAACTCTCACAGGCCTTGTCGCTCATGTCGGCAGGTAACCCACTACATTTTCACCATCAATAATTCCAATGCATGCATAATTGATTGGCTAAAATGCAACCCACTTAGCTTGCGGAGACTCTGGTTTATATCTGCTATGATAGTTTGCCAGAAGCAGAACTATCCATTGCACTAGCCTGTATTTGAGCAACTTCCTGTATTCAGCCTCAGTAGCTGTAGGCCTGCATGCATCAGTTGTGGAAGATATCATAGCACAAGTCTTTTTACCCTTGCTTGTTTACTTGTTAAAACCTTTTGTGTATGCTTTGAGATTGTCGGTGAATTAAGGATAAACAGAGTAAACTAGCTGTGCTCCTGTCCCTCAAGAATATCTGGACAGACTTGAAGTTAGTGGACACAATGGCTTTGTGGATTGAGAAATACTAAATACATGTACAATGTATTGGATTAGAGGCTAAGTACTGCTTCATTTTATTACATCATATCAGTGGTCTTCATTAGATTATCAGTGGGCATTTCCGCATTTGGTAGGGATTTAGGATTGATCAGCCGTCCCCTAATGGAATGTGAGGTTTGTGACTCTCAGTGTGAGTGCCTCAGCAGGCTGCTGTGTGGAGCCTTTTTCTGCCCATCATTGTCAGTTGCTCTTAGGTTGGCTGTCAATGGACAACAAAACCTTCTGTCCTGACAGAGTCCATCAGGGATCTTTATTTATTATCTGTCAGTTCTAATGCAGTGGGGAGGGGTAGACATACGGCACATTACAACGGCTGAAGTTTGAATATGTTCTGTTTAACAAAACACCGTTTGAAGTCATTGACACCTTTCCATGAACAGCATATTGAATACATACTATTAAGCCACAACATTGTGGAAATTGACAGATAAAGTTACTCATAATTCATAATATCCACTTAAAGAAAAATAATTTTGTCCTGGGAAAGTATAAACACAAGAATTTTGTGGATCCAAATTGCTTCAGCATTGGATTTGAGTGCCAAACAATGTCTAAATGTGTAAAGTATCATTTTACTTTCTTGTAATGTCCTCTAGAGCCTGCATTAAGCAAAACATTATGACTAACTCAATACTGATTATCTAACAGCATGGCAACCTGTTAGTGGGTGAAATAAATTAGGCAGAAAGTGAACATTGTTCTGATCATAACCAGAACCAGGAATGAGAGTTTAGACATGAGATGGACAGCATTGGGAAGACAAAGGGGCAAGATCATCTCTAAAACTGCAGTACTTGTTGGATGTATCAAGAAAAGAACAGTCGTGAATCAGTGGCAAGTCCCAAGTCCCAAGTGGTCTAAGTCATTGAAATAACAAACAATATGTGCTGAAAGGGGAATAAATCCAATTGTAGCTTAAATTACTGCAGATGTTTGTTCTGTTAGAACTATTGGCTTGTTGGCAGATCCTACAGCTCTCCTTCAAGATGTTTTCATGTTTAGGCTTGGTCAGATCACTAGGCAAATCATCATAATGCTGTGGTTTATGTATGCTTTGAATGACTTAAGCATTTGATTCTCTTTATAAAAATTAGACTGCCCAAATAGTCTAAACCCCAAGAAGACGATCGGTTCTGGAAGCTTCTGTTGGCTGCTTCGTTTTATAGGATTTGATCGTAATTTTAAAGTTTTAAATATTAATACTTAGAACAAAGCATTTTAAAGCATGACAAATGGAACAGAGGATAGTGTGCTAGGGTTGGGTAGATTCTAGTTTTATTAAAGATAGAGTTTAGGGCTGCAACTACCAGTAACCAGTTACTCTTATTATTTTGACAGTTGGAAAAAACAGAAGAAAATTGGCATATTTTGCAGATTTTTTATTGAACCACTTTATCTACCAATTTCTTTTATATATTTTATTTACTGGTACATGATATTAGAAAGTCACTAAAAGATGCAAATAAACAACTACATTCTTTTAAAAAAAGTAAATAAATAGACATTATTGTCTATAATAACTGCCTTCCTTTACTGCACTGTTTATCAAAGGATCCACCTGCAGCTGCAAATAATTCTTCTAAGATCAAATAATCTTCTTGACTTAAGATTGATTGATTGATTGATTGATTGATTGATTGATTGATTGATTTTTCTGGGTTGAACATATTTACAGACATAGGTTTTATTTTGCTCTCAAATGATGCATCTACCTTTTGACTGAAATAATGCTCTGAGTGTGTTATTCTTCATCACATTGTATTTTTATTCCAATTAATGATTATTCAATTACTAAATTAGTTAGCAATTATTTAAGCAATCAATATGTCACAATAAATCTGATTCATTATTTCAGCCGTAATAGAGTTTGCTTTTAGTTGCACTGAGGTTTTATAAAGAATAATCCACAGTTTCTCAGCAGTTCTGGCCAATGTGCTGTGCAGCGAAGGGTCTGATGTGCTGTAATATTTATGATGCAACTTCTCTGATATTCATAGGTGGAGATAGTGACCCATACTGGCCCCCACCGTCGCCTGTGGATGGGCCCCCAGTTCCAGTTCAAGACGATTCACCCTTCAGGTCAGACCACAGTCATCTCCTCATCATCCTCAGTGCTCCAGTCCCACGGCCCCTCCGATGTACAGCAGCCCCTTTTGGACTTTGACACAGATGACCTGGATCTACGCAGCCTTCGGTATATTAAAACCACTGAGCATGTTTTGTAATGGTGTAATGGTAGAAATTGCTCACAACACAATATTGTTTCTAACACAATGGGGTGCAATTTCATTTTAACAGTATTTTAGCAGAAGATAAAAATGTCTTATTTCTTTTGGTTTTCAAAATGGATTGAAGGTTTCAAAAGGGCTCTTAGTCCAGATAGGACCAGTTCTCAAGCTTGTCCTGATCGAACACAGTTCTAATGGTAAAACAGGATTAAAATGCATTTTCTTTTACATCTTTGCATCTAGTTTAAATGTTTCTTAAATCTCTAAGTGGGTTATAAATAATCTTTTTTTAATGTGAAATTAATCAGTGCAAGTTGGACAATTCCACTTCAGCTTGAACTGCAGATGATTAAAAACAGTTTCTATTAGTGAAAAATCCTTTACTGTGGAGCTGAAGGGAAACTGTTGATATGCCACTGCTTAAAATCATTCACAACTTGTTAATCACTTTGTCAAGATTTCTCTTTTATCGGATGCCCATTTGTTGTGAGTGATTAATCAATTAACATATGTTAAATTAGTCAATTAAATGTGTTGTTTAATCAAGCAAACAATCAAGTTTATTTCATTTCAACAACAGTGTCCAAAGTTTGAAGTGCTTGACCTCATAAAAACACAAAAATCAAAGTTCTACACCAAAGAGCTACACCAATAATATTAAAAAAGATTTTAAAAAAAGATAATTCAGGAGAAGCACTTTAATTTCACATCATGGCACCTGAGCTTGAAGAAGAAACGGTCATCTCAAACTAAAGAATCATGTTTTATACACATCTGTTGAGCAGCTGAATGCCAGACATGTTGTATATGTAATGCTATGAATGTCTTTGTTCAGAATCCAGCCTGTACGCTCTGAGCCAGTCAGCATGCCCGGTTCATCTCGGGTGCTGACCGACCGCAGAGGTCAAACCAACATCATGGATGCCGGCTCAGGTAGGAAGCTTCCTGTCTTTTCTGGTCCGGGGTTCATCGTTTGTTTTTCAGTTTGGTCCCACTCCTTCCTGGTTTACTGTGGTTGGTTCCATCTAGTCTCACTTTCTGTATCACCTTCATTTTGTTTCACACCTGTTTATTCCGTCGCTCACGTCAGACTGTAGCTGCTGTCAGAGTTGTTTGTGATGAAAGATTGAGAGAGTGCAGACTTTGTCTGGTGAAAATGAAAACATTTTAATCAACATAATAATTGATTATGCTACATAATTTTTTGGAATCTGTAAAGAGGGAACATTGTATATACAAACATAAATATGTACAAGCAAATGTAAAGTTTCTTATCAATTTGTAGTCATCAACAAGTTTCTGGCATGTTTCTGACTTGTTCTAATGTTACCATACATGAAAGAGTTGGTGTAAATCTTCTGCTTGGAAGAATGCACTGATTGTCTTTATGTGGTCTTAGTTTTCCATAAGCCTAATGTTAACCTGTTTAGGTATTATGTCCTTAACATAAAGCAGAACATAAATCAGAAAGTAAAAGCTATCTGATTCACCAGTACAATCATCTTTGCCACTGATTGTAGGTGAAAATCTTTCCTCCTTTTGTATCACTTCCATACAATAAGCTCCACTGCACTAGTACAGGACAACCTCTGTGACTCCTCCAAAGATGCATTTTGTCATAGTGATCATACTGCTTGCTATTTACCTAAGCTGATCATAAAACCTTTTAGATGGCCAATTTCTAACTGGAACAAAACGTGACTTAGAAATCTTTAGATTTAATAAATAACTGAAATCTCATAACATAATTCCTTTCTCACTTTACATATTTGTGTGCACAGGAAATTGATTAAATTGATAAAAGGCGACATTTGGACAACATGCAAAGGTTCTATATATGTCAATGAACTACACAGCAAATGTCATTATAGCTCTATAGACCTGTTGCTGCGTGACGTCACACACACAAGATCCCGCCCCCAGCTTCCTGCTGGAGGGCAAAAGACTGCTGGTGACGATGACTCCCGTTAGATTTAGTTGTGAAATTGTTAACGCAATAAATCTTAAATGTATGTATGCATTAGACAGACGGACGGACGGACGGACGGACAGACAGATAGATAGAAACTCAAGGAAATTATTATACAGTTAGGGCCAGAAATATTTGGACAGTAACACAATATTTGTGAGTTGGGCTCTGCATGCCACCGCATTGGATTTGAAATGAAACATCTACAACAGAATTCAAGTGCAGATTGTAACGTTTAATTTAAAGGGTTGAACAAAAATATCTGATAGAAAATGTAGGAATTGTACACATTTGTTTACAAACACTCCACATTTTAGGAGCTCAAAGGTAATTGGACATATAAACATAAACCAAACAAAAAAGTTTGTTCTCAATATTTTGTTGCGAATCCTTTGGAGGCAATCACTGCCTTAAGTCTGGAACCCATGGACATCACCAAACGCTGGGTTTCCTCCTTCTTAATGCTTTCCCAGGCCTTTACAGCCGCAGCCTTCAGGTCTTGCTTGTTAGTGGGTCTTTCCGTCTGAAGTCTGGATTTGAGCAAGTGAAATGCATGCTCAATTGGGTTAAGATCTGGTGATTGACTTGGCCATTGCAGAATATTCCACCTTTTTGCTCTCATGAACTCCTGGGTAGCTTTGGCTGTATGCTTGGGGTCATTATCCATCTGTACTGTGAAGCGCCGTCCGATCAACTTTGCAGCATTTGGCTGAATCTGGGCTGACAGTATATCCCGGTACACTTCAGAATTCATCCGGCTACTCTTGTCTGCGGTTATGTCATCAATAAACACAAGTGACCCAGTGCCATTGAAAGCCATGCATGCCCATGCCATCACGTTGCCTCCACCATGTTTTACAGAGGATGTGGTGTGCCTTGGATCATGTGCCGTTCCCTTTCTTCTCCAAACTTTTTTCTTCCCATCATTCTGGTACAGGTTGATCTTTGTCTCATCTGTCCATAGAATACTTTTCCAGAACTGGGCTGGCTTCTTGAGGTGTTTTTGGGCAAATTTAACTCTGGCCTGTCTATTTTTGGAATTGATGAATGGTTTGCATCTACATGTGAACCCTTTGTATTTGCTTTCATGGAGTCTTCTCTTTACTGTTGACTTAGAGACAGATACACCTACTTCTCTGAGAGTGTTCTGGACCTCAGTTGATGTTGTGAACGGGTTCTTCACCAAAGAAAGTATGCGGCGATCATCCACCACCGTTGTCTTCCGTGGACGCCCAGGCCTTTTTGAGTTTCCAAGCTCACCAGTCAATTCCTTTTTCCTCAGAATGTACCAGACTGTTGATTTTGCTACTCCAAGAATGTCTGCTATCTCTCTGATGGATTTTTTCCTTTTTTTCAGCCTCAGGATGTTCTGCTTCACCTCAATTGAGAGCTCCTTTGACCGCGTGTTGTCTGGTCACAGCAACAGCTTCCAAATGCAAAACCACACACCTAGAAACAACCCCAGACCTTTTAACTACTTACTTGATTACAGGTTAACGAGGGAAAGGCCTTTTGAGTTACTTGCAGCCTTTACAGTCCATTGTCCAATTACTTTTGGTCCCTTGAAAAAGAGGAGGCTCTGCATTACAGAGCTATGATTCCTAAACCCTTTCTCCGATTTGGATGTGGAAACTCTCATATTGCAGCTGGGAGTGTGCACTTTCAGCCCATATTATATATAAATTGTATTTCTGAACATATTTTTGTCAACAGCTAAAATAACAAAACCTGTGTCACTGTCCAAATATTTCTGGCCCTAACTGTATATATATAATTGTATATACAAAAGTAAAACAGAGGCTGTGCTTTGCTATTACTTATCAATACTATGATTATTACATAACAAAACCAGGAAAATGTTTAAATTTTTTAAAAAGTAGCCGGACAGGCTGTAGGTCAGTTATTTTAGCCTGACTTTGACAACCTTAACTTGTAGCTGTGATGTTGAATTCAAAGTGTTTCCTGCAGTTGATGAAAAGGGTGACCTACACCAACTCTCTGATATGTCATCAGAAGAATACTATTGATTTTGAGTTCAACATTTTTTCTGCATTATTTTCTCCTTTGGTGTGGGACACTGTACCAAGTTGATAATACTCACATCTCCAGATTTCATTTCAGCACAGTGCAGCTGTGGATGCCATGTAAAAGAATAGTTTTCTTGATCTCCACCGTTGTGCGCATGCAGAAAAATACAGATGTAAACAACGTGCAACGGGTCTATATGGAAAGCTAAAAAGACATTGTAGTCATACTATTATGCAACACTCGATAGAAAATGACCGCTCTTATGGAAAAATGGCTATTCTTATATCATACAATTCAGATTGATGTATATCTTGTTTCTCTTTAAGAACTGCTCAGGGCTGAATCATTTGTTCAGCCCCGATTATATATGTTTATTCAATAATTATGTATATTAAAATCAGACATGATATCACACCATGCATCGGTACAGTTTACTGAAAAACAGGATTTTTCAATCATTTAAAGCAATAGCAAAATTATAAGGGTTAATGTTAACCTCTTGAATTAGTGATTAGTTCACTTAGCATTACTAACTGCAAACACAAGTCTCTATAGACTGCAGACTCTTATCTCTTATCTCACAATTGTTTAACATGGCTGATGACAGGTAGAAGGTGAAAGCAACAAAGCAGAACAACTTTGTTGTAGTTTGCACAGCCTCCATGGTATCTACTGAAGTCTCCTCCTGATCAGTTCCTCCCTTCATCAGTTGGACAAGTCAAATCCAAGGCGAGCTCTCAAACAACCCGTCTTTGACCAGAAACAGTCAAGTCTAAGACGAGCATAGCTTCTGTGAATTGTGGAAGAAACAAAATGACCAAATATCTGCCGGCTGTGGCAGCAGAATGAAAGCCAACATGCCTTCATAGAAAGTACAGTGCCATCTTAAAGCGTTTGTATTTCCTCTGACTTCATGTTTAAATGCCTCTCTGACTCTGAAGGTCTTCTTCCTTTCGAAGAACCAGACGATTCCTCTGCATGCTACTGGAATTGAACCAACTCTTGTTTTGTGAACACCAAAACCTTTTTTTGAGATTGTATCACCCACAGTGAGGAATTCAAGCTAATATTTTTCTACCAATGTCCTGTCATACCAGAGTTATGAAGGAAATTTACTTGAAGGCCATAATCTGCCAGAAGACAGTGCAGGTACCAGACATACATCAGCCGTGTTTTAGTTCCTGTATTTAGTTTACTTTATAATTAGCTTTTGAGTTTCACACTTTCTCATATTTTCATTTTGTATTTTAATTGAGATGTTTTTTTTTCTTACTCTGTCATTACCTTTAATGTGAAAAAAATAAATTCAGTCTAATTGGAAGATGATCAACTATAATGCTTAACTAGACAAAGTGTATGCTTCATGCGTATGCACAATGATCACTATTTAGAGGCAAAGGAGTTATCACCTATTGCGTGACATTGTGACCTGTTGTCTGGTGTGTCAGGGCGACAGAGGTGTGCCTGTGGCGTCTGTTCTTTTATCTGCTGTCTTGTCACAGATGCTTCTCTCATCTGATTTGGCCTCATGCTGACACAGAGCAACTACTAGTTTCTTCCCCCAGGTGTCAAAAATACTGAGAGCCTGTGTCACAAATAGTTGGATGTCAGATAGTGTCTTTTGTCCTGCACCACTGCCTGTCTTTCAAAAGCTGGCAGAGTTTGTGGCAGATTTATTTGAGATCAGAATCTTCTCAGAAGACTGATGACAGCAGACATCAGTTTTTAAATGCTAGATGTGAGCTTTTGAGAAGGAGAATACATTTTTGCCACAGCCACCTGTCACTGTGGCCCTTCCAGGTCCTAAGCCAGCTTTACTGTTGTTCTTCCATCTCCATGTGCCTCATTTCATCCTCTGAGAATCATATCTGTGGTTTTTCTGTCTCCAGTCAGTGACAGAGGCAGGCCGAGGGATGGAGGTGATGCTTATCGCTGT